ATATTTTACTTTCAAATAGTTTATTTGTTGATATTTTAAATATTTAGAATATTATTGATAACTTTATAAGATATAATTACTGTTTTCGGCAGTGTTTGTATCTTGTAAAAATATATCCTAATAATATTTTCTAACATAGCAACATTATGCAAAAAAAACATATAAAAAATAAAATCAATTAATAATTAGATAAATATATCTTAGTTTGGGTTGATTATAAGTGTCGTTGTTGCAGAGATGTCTAACACATATTTGAACTTGTGCACTTTTAACAAACAAATATAAGGATTTTGAAAGATTCTCTCTTTGAGAGTGATGTAATTCTCTCTTTGAGAGCGATCGACATTTCAATCCCTCTGCAGATCCGTTTTCTTCTCCTTCCTTAGGCATTCTAATCGTATTGCTATCATTCACTGTAATTTTTATATCCTCCTCTCCCATCTCATTCACCCTTCTAGGGTTTTTCAGCCATGGAAAATTCGACATGTATTAGGCAAGATGCCGACTTGGCCCAAAAGCTTCAAGGTTTCTCCCTATCAGATCGAGAGCATAACTTCATTGACATAGCGCAAGATGACATCAAAAGGAGCGCGAACGAATGCAATAGAAGCCTCTTTGGAAAAATTATAGGCGATCGACGAGCGAGCTGGATTGGTATCAACAGATCGATGAGCCGCATTTGGCGATTACAAGGGACTTTGGAAGTTAAGGAGCTGGCAGACAATTATTTCCAATTCATCTTCCAAAATAGAGAAGATCTCCTCAGAGTCACTAAGGGTACCAATTGGATTTTCGATAATCAATTTTTTGTACTATCTGAATGGCGTCAAGGAATCTCCCCCAATCACCCTGTCTTCTCGGATATCAAGCTTTGGGTACAGGTGCTCAATGTTCCCCTTAATTGGCTTAGCACAGAAGTGAGAGTCAAAATAGGGATGGTCTTTAAGCATGTTGACAATGTGGTGATTGTGGGCGCGGGCAATCATGGGGGCCGCATTATGCGCCTTCTGGCAACAATAGACGTCAATGAAGCTCTTCCTCACTGTGCCAATATCAGGCTGAATGATCAAGCAGTAAGCGTTTGCTTTAAATACGAAAAGCTTGTAAATCTCTGTCATTACTGTGGTCACATAGGCCACCTTGATAGAAACTGTTCTAAACGGATTGAAGACATTAAGGCAAAAACTGTGAAAGAAGGTCAATTTGGCGATTGGATAAAAGCTCCTGAATTCCTCAACTGGTCAGGCATGAACACCTCTGGTTCCAGGAGTACTCATCAAACAGATTCCCCATCACACTCTCCCCAATCCACCCCCATTCATACATCCACAAGCCATGTTGAAGAAAATAACCAAATTATCCCTCTGCAAACAGATTCCCCTCCAACTTCACCCACCACTAATATCCCTCAATCAACTTCTCCCATCCCTCCAAATGCCAATTCAGCCCTCCCTCAAAAATCAGTTCCTTCCATGATGATAATTGACGGAATATCACCATCCTCTGCTCAAGATATAACTGTTGCACCTATTGATATGCCAACCCCTGCGACCAAAGGAGATGTATCTAGTGAGCAGCATTTAAAACTCAAATCTTGGAAGAGGTCTCCAAGTAGCATGGGCAGGCTTCTGCGTCAAGATATTAGCCCCTCTACAAATCCATTGCCTTCCTCATCTAAAAGGCCGAGAGATGAGGATCAAAACAATCAAACAGGGCTCCCAGATTCGAACCAGGACTCAGCTGAAAGCAAGAAACAAAAAACTGCAGAAAAACAGGTGGGGGTTGCCAGCCTCGAATGGCACCCAAAAGAT